TATTATTGCTTATCTCATGGTATTTAAAAAAATTTAATCAAGAGAAATGTATATTTAGTTCTCTGAATACTTACCCCCCCACACACATCTTTTCTTGGTTTTGTCTACTAAAATGTTCCCTCATTCAAGGCCATGGATATCTTTGAACCTTTCTTTATCTCACAATTTGTAAGACCATTAGAGAGTAGTTTAAAAATTCTGTTAAATCCCTAGCAGGAAAAGTTACCCTAAACTTGTAACAGAAAGGGTTAATAGTTAAAAAATTTGTGTATAGGCAATCTTATTTTGCTACAGATTACCATATGGGTAACTTCAATTCAACTCTTGTTTAGGAAAATAGATACTTTTAAAAAGATGGTTTGTTTTATTTTATTTTCCCTGGACTAAGAAGGCAATGTCAGGCCTCTAAGATATTTTGGAAAAATACAGATTTTTGTGTGATAATTTTTGTCCTAAGAGTAAAAAATAACAGATGAGAACAAAACCATGAACAAAGTTTGTGGAAAATAGGACTTACTAACAACATATGTTTGATGATTGAGGTTTATAATTCCTAAGGTTATAAAGGTGTATTCCAGGTAACAGAAAGAGACTTAAAGGTGTATGTCTATCCCCTTATGTCTTGACTAACATTATTAAGCTTTAACTCTTTGGAGAAACTGACTTGCATGAAAAAACTGGTATTTTGTAAAAGTACTATAAAAGAATCAGGAAAATGAGGTTCCAGTACTCTCTGTGGACTGTGTTTATGGTTTAAAGTTCCTTTTGGTACTAAAGGACCTCTAATTTAAAAATTATAAATTTTAAGTCTTAAAATTACTAGATAATGGCCCTCAAGGTCCTCAGAGAGATCTACAGAATATTGTATTTAAGGTGTTTGATGGAGGTGAGGACCAGGAGAAGATGGAAAGGGCTTCTTGTGTGTCTTAGTTAGGGTTTTATTGCTGTGATAGACACCATGACCACTACAACTCTTATAAAGGAAAATATTTAACTGGGGCTGGCTTACAGTTCAGAGGTTCAGTCTGTTATCATCATGATGGGAAGGATGGTGGCAGCAGGCAGACATGGTACTGGAGAAGGAGCTGAGAGTTCTAAATCCAGATCTGCAGGCAGCAGGAAGTGAGACACAAGGCCTGGCTTGACCTTCTGAAACCTCAGAGTGTGTCACCCCCTAGTGACACACTTCCTCCAACAAGGCCACACCTCCTAATAGTGCCACTCCCTATGAGCCGATGGGGGCCATTTTCATTCAAACCAACACCCTGTGAACAGAGAAATACCAGTTTCTGGCAGTAGCCTTTAGGACACCTCCAAAGAAGATGGAGCACCAATACACTGCACATCCATGTAAAATGCCTCAAATGTAAAAACACTGGTCCCTGGTCAAAGACCTGTACTTCACCTCTCTTGCTGCCAGAATCCTGGTGGGGTGGTGGGTCTATAATTCCTCTCTGCCTTGCCATGTCCCACAATTTCCTCCTCCATAGAAAAACATTTCAGGTCTCTGGGCCTGGTGGCTGAAGACTGATACCCTGCCTTAGGACCCCAGCTCCCAACAACCATGGAGCTTCCTAGGTGACTGTCCAGCTAGTGGGTAAGTTTCTGTCATTTTTAATTGATTTGAGAGCTACTTGGTCCATACTTTCTGCTCACTCAAGTAAACTTACCCTTCTCAAATCTCCGTGATGGGTGTTGATGACTGCTGGCACCATCCCAGGGCTATAGGTCCTCTTCTCTGTTCCTTCTGGGGCTACCTGATCACTCTGAGGTAGTGTGTGGGGGGTCACCTTTCTTGTTATGCCTAGTTGCCCAAACTCAGTGGGCAGGGATATCATGGCTAACTTACACTTTTCCTTTTCTTTTCATCCAACTCCCTCCAGATTTTCCCTCTCTTTCTAGCTTCTGAAGGGACTCCTTGTCCACTGGCTGACACTAATGCTTTAGCCTGTCCTACCCTCTTCCAGACTCTCGCTGACCCTAAAGCATGGAGCACCTCTCCCCCTTTGTTATCTTCCTGGATCCCCCATTAAGATCCTACTCCAAGACCCTCCCTCCTATCTCTGCTGCTCAAGGCCATAGCTTTTTAAAACCTATCCCACAATATCATCTTAATAAGGTATTCTCAAACCCGTTCACTTGCCATATAACAGCCTTATTTTGCCTGTCTTAAAGCCTGATGGTTTGTTCTGCCTGATCTAGGACCTCAGGATTACCAACAAGGCAGTTCTTCCTCCCCACACAGTACTGGCTGACCCTTTCACTCTATGCTTCTCCGAGTCCCTCTTCTATATCTCACGTTACTGTGCTAGACCCCAAGGACACAGTCTCCATCATTCCTCTAAACCTAGATCCACATGGCCTCTCCGTCTTCACCTGGGAGGACCCTGACACTGAAACAGCTTCTCAGTTTACTTGGACTGTCCTCCCCCAGGGGTTCTGAGATAGCCCCCATTACTTCAGCCAGGGGCTGACCACTGACCTCCTTTCTCTCAACTTCTCCCCAGATGCTTAATTCAATATGTAAATGATTTTCTAGTATGCGGCCCCTCACTCTTGCTGTCAGAACACACTACTCAATTTCTCAACTTTCTAGGAAATAAAGGACACAGAGTCTCCTCTTCCAAAGCTCAGCTTTCTGTTCTTTAGGTCAAGTATCTAGGTTTTCTGTTATCCCCTAACTCAACTTTGGTCTCAGATAGCATCTGAAGCCTCTCAGACCTCCAGTCACCAAAGAAGAAATTCTCTCCTTCCTTGGGCTGGTGGAGTACCTCAGAACCTGTATTTCCAACTTTGCTCACCTTGCTCTCCTATGAAGCAGCTAAGGACTCCCTAACTGAGCCTCTGGATCCTACTAACACTGTATTGCTTGCTTCCTCTCACCTCAGAGACACACTCCAAGAGGCCCCTGCTCTGGCTCTCCCATACATTGACCAAATATTATCCTGTATACTATAGAAAAGTGGGGAATTATTCTGGGGGGGGCTTGGGACAACTGAGAGAACCCACCTTTGCCTCTGTTGCCTATTGTGGGAATTTGCTCCATTTGTAGGTTCAAATCTCAGTTGCCTATCTTTCCAAACAGCTAGATAACAACAGTTAGCAGATGGCAGTCTTGCCTATGGGCACCAGCAGCAGCTTCCCTTTTAGCCATAGGGCCTCCACACTCAATCCTAAAGCTAATAGAAGCCTCTTATCTTCCTAAGCAGGTGGCAGTTATTACACTTTTGAAGTCACCAGGTCCACATATAGCTTTTGGAAATGTTTTTACTAACAAGACTGCTAAGGAGGCCAGCCAACACCCCTACTCACTTTCCTCTCAGCTCCTTCCAGATTAACCCCTACTACTCTGGCTCCCAGTGGCAGGCCCTCTGGGCTATGGAAGCTGTCAATGACCCTAAGATGGCTCTTACAGCAGGTACTACTTCCCTGACACTCAAGCAAAGCCCTTCCTGACAGCTGATCACAAGACTTTTCATATCGGGTCTCAACCTCTCTACCACTTCCTTCAACCTCTCTCCTACTCTAGCCTTTCTGTCCTTCCCAAGACCATTACTCCATCTGCACACAAACATCCCCAAAGGGGACCTCATGACCCCCTCCTTCCTTAAACCGACACCAATCTTGGGGTAATTGTCTGGCAGGTAGATTTTATACACATGCCTCCAAATAAAAGACATAAATCTCTTCTTACTATGATAGACACTTTCTCAGGATGGAAAGATGCTTTCTTTACTATGGCTGAGACTGCATCAGTGATCTGTTCCCACCTCATGAATGGTATCTTGCACAAATTTAGACTTCTTAGGTCCATCCAATCAGATAATGGCCAGTCTGTCCAAGTGGAAGAGAGGATTAGAAACTTAAACTAACTTACAAAAGATAGCCTCCAGAGCCCAACTCCAAAGTAGGATTCTCACTATGGTCCTTTCTGGTACCCTGGATTCTACACCTCCTTGGCCCATTGATTCCTATACTTCTCATAATAATGACTGTTCCTTGTCTCTTTGACTTCCTTCAGGAGAAAATTACTGAAATAACCCAATGTTCAGTAAACCAGATAATTTTGATGGGGTCTACTCAGGTCTCCTACCATCACCTGCCAACTTGAGCCCCTGCTTTGGACTAGCATTTCAGACTACCTCCATCCTCAAACACCCAATAAGCATGAAGTAGCAAGAGGCCTACTATTACTCCTGTATCATCAACAAAAGTCTGGAATGCTAGGTGCAAAGTTGCCCCCAAAATGGCCATGTTGGTGACAATGTTCTAAACAGAAGGACTCTGACCAGGGGAACAGAAAGATTGTTATTGGGTAAACAGGCATCTAAACTCAGCATTCCTCAGGAACCTCAGAAGGTAGTTTCTGCTTACCAGGAAAACCACTATTTCCCTTAATCTTCCTCCAAAGGTGAACTACCTCAGATATCTAGTTCTGGTCAATCTGAACAGCCTGTATCAGCTCAAAGACCTATCCATGACCGTCACCCAAAATCTACTTGCTTCTCTGCTCTTTTGCTTCTCTCTATGCCCAGAGAGGTAGCATTGGCAGTTTCAGTCCCAATGAACTGTACTTTCTACCCACACAGTGGTCTAGTTCAGTGGTTTCATTGCACCCTTGCTTACACGGGGAACCTGTCCTCAGTTTCCAGCACTCACATAAAAAGCTGTGTGTGGCAGTGTGCAGCTCTATTCCCAGTGCTAGGGGGCAGAGGCAGGAGGACCCTTGTTATGATATGGTACGCAAGAAGTCTTGGAGGGTTGGGCCAAGGTACCCTGGTGGGTGAGGGAGACACACCATGCAGATGTGGCAGCAGGATGCTGTGTGGAGCGGTGAAAAGTCACTCATACCATGCAGACACATGTACACATGGAAAGTTTATTTTGGGGGAAGGGAGAGGGAATGGAGGAAAGGAGAGACAGAGACAGAGAGACAGAGAGAGACAGAAACAGAGAGAGGGGGAGAGAGAGAGACAGAGAGAGAAAGAGAGAGAGAGAGAGAGAGAGAGAGAGAGAGAGAGAGAGAGAGAGAGAGAGGAGGTGCATACCTCGTGGGAATAGAGACAGTTGTGGGGTAGGAACTTGTGGGACGGACCAGCCTAGCTTGTCTAGCCAAAAGTGAGGCAATGGGTTCCTAGTCCTGTTGTCCATGGTCTGAAGAAGGCCCTGGCAGCAATTGAGGTTCTTCTGTGCCCATCCATCTTCTTTGGAGAAAATAAAGATGCCGTCAGGAGCCAGCATGTCTCTCTATCATGAAAAGCTTCTTAATTAAACATTTTAGATGCCATATTCTGCAGATCTCTGAGTATTTGAGGACTGTCCATCCATTAGGTATGAATGACTGGCTATCAACTAATATTCCCTAAGCCTCCAATATGTTAGCAGCTTTCATAAGACTAGGATTTGCTGTCTCCTGAGAAGACAAAGAGTGACAGAGAAAGGTCTCAGAGTTGAATGAGACCAGGAGAAAAGGGGCTGTGAGTTGGGGTGTGGCCCAACTCTTGGAAAAGGACCCTCTGAGAAAAGGACCCTCTCAGGGGACAAGAAACTCCATCATAGGATATATAGTTTGTTTATCAAATATCTTATTTATCAAACATATGTCATCATTTATTTAAATTCTCTAGTGGTGTAAATCTCTAAGTTAGTTTTTGTTAATCTGAACAGATAAATTTTGCAAGACAAGGAGGCTTACATTTTTAAGCCTGAATAGACTTTGAGTAAGGAGAGACATTTTTAAGCCATTGGCAGTGATATCTGCATCTATTACCATTTTTAAGGCCCTGTAGTTTTGGCCTGATTTTTGAGTACAGCCAGATTTTAATCCTGAATTATTTATATAGAAATAATTATTTCTAAAGGTCATATAATAACTCTTTGGCTCTGCATTAAGAAGGTCAAGTGTCTTATCTTATTGCAGAACAATTTTAGTTAATAAATCTACCAATTGACAATTTGGGGTCCAGTTTCCTGGTATATCAATGGGCATTAGGTAGCCATTTTGTCCCCATCCCTTTAACTTAGCCTTTTTAGCCTGTTTTGGGAGCACGGAGCACAGGATGACATATTCTCTTCCATAACTGCTTCAAGCTGAAATGAGGTGCAGATAGTCAGAGCCCAGGGAGGTTAAAAGGCTAGTCACATGTAAGGAGGGCATTTAGGCAATGGAGTATTAATCAGAAGCACCTGATTTGATCCAGCTGGAAACAAGAAGCATTCATATTGCCTGGCTTGGTACATATCAGCTTTCAGCAAGTCCATGTCTTACAGGTTGATGTCAGCAGCCAGTGCCTGGATGTATCAGTCAGCCAAATGGAAGCCCACTGAAACAGATATAGACCAGAGACAAAAGTTAAAATTTATGAACTTATTTGGAACTTTTATGCCCATGGTCTTAGTAATTGGGAAGGGGAGACCAAGAGAGAGAAAAATATCATCCTTAGGAATAGACAGGTGAGAAAAACTCATCTAGAATTCTTTTGACCTCTGTGAAGTGGATCTAAGTTTCATGATTTCTTTTGATCCTTTGAAGCTTATATGAATTTTTATTTTATAAAAGAATATAAAGAACAGTTAATGGGTATCTGTAAAACAGCAGTAGACTCATACCTATAAGTTATTTATACCTAAAATCCAAAATCCTGAGGTTGTGACCCAAACAGCATCAGAACTCTATTAATGTCAAAATCTAAAATTTTGAAATCTTAATATAGTAATATCACAGAAGGGAAAAGTAATCTAAAGCATTTAAATCATTTATTTATGTCAAGAGACCTAGTAGCTTTAGGACAAGTAAGGTTTGGTTTAAAAAAAAATGAGCTGGCAAATTGGCCATATCACCAGCATGTGGCACCATGGATGCCCAAGAGCCTGGGAGAGAGAGAGAGGAAGGGAGAAGATAGGTCTCTGGGCCCTGCTCACACAATGCTGGAGCAGTCACAGAGGACTGCCAGGCTGAGACCTGAGGCTGGAATCCTCAGCCCCATAAAACAGTGCACGGTGCAAGGCAGAGCTTTTCTGACCTTCCCTTGCATGGACAGACTGAGTGCTGGGTGCCAGCTATGGTGATATATTGGGTACCCTAATAAATTATCTGGGGATCAGAGGACAGAGCCAGCCACTAGATTAGACATAGAGGCCAGACAGTGGTGGCATACACCTTTAATCCTATCACTTGGGAGGCAGAGATCCATCTGGATCTCTCTGAGTTTAAGGCCACACTGGGAACAGAGCCAGGCAGTGGTGGCACACTCCTTTAATCCAAGCACTTGAGATCTCATGCCTTTGCATGGAAAGCACACACACCTTTAATCCCAGGAAGTGACATGGATGGGTAGAGAGCAGTATATAAGGCATGAGGAGACAGGAACTAAGCAGAAGTTCACCTGAGACCCTCAGGAGTGAGGACTCAGAGTCTTTCAGTCTGAGGATTTGTGGAAATAGGATAGGCTGAGAAGTTGGCAAGGTGAGGTTAGCTGTGTCTTGTTGTTTTTCTGATCTTTCAGCTTTCACCCTAATATCTGGCTCTGGTTTTTTTTTTTTTTTAATTAATAAGACTGTTTAGCAATTCATGTTACACCCCACCCATGCTTGCGCCATGGCAGGAAGTGACTTTTTTGCTGCCCTTAGTAAAGATGGCCCTTGACCACCCACATGATTGCCCTTATCAAATATGGTGACTGACCACATGGTCATGTGGTTTATTTTTGTTTGTTTGTTTTTTGTAAGACAAACGGAATAGATATAGAATACATTAATCTCAAGCATTCAAAATCAGTCAGAAACACAGTTATGTGGCCACATCAGTCACACATTTCCATTCACGCATACGAAATAAACTTTTAACAGAAAGAATCGGAATGAGAAGGTGTGAACAGTGGTAGCTACAGGAGGGAGGAGTGGATAGGAACAGAACAGGAGAACGGGACATTTTGAGCAAAGGCATGTGGTGGCAGTAGGCACAGAAACAAGAAGCAGGCCATATGGGTGCACATAGTAGGCTAGAGCTAGGAGAGGAACAAGCAGGACAGAAAAGCAAAGAGAGAAAAGGGGGAGGAGTAGATGTTTCCAAGGTGGCAGGAACACCCTACCTTAAGAGATGCTAAGCTGTAAGACATGTTAAACACTAGCCATGGTGGAACATGGTGGGAGATCAATGGGTAAGCAGCAGTCTCCATGAGCGAGGTAGACAAGATCCAATAGCTAAAGTCTCTTGCATCCTAGAGGTTAAGTGAAGATCAATTAATGGCACAAGCCACTCAGTGGTCCATCAACAAACACAGAGTAGGGACCAGGGGCGTTAGCCAAAAGGACGCATGGTTACCCAGTAATGTGGCGTACAAACAGTGCAAAAGGTGAGAAACCATGGTCCAGAAGTCAATCCTCAGTCATGAAAAATGGCCAGAAGAGAGGGGCTTACCGAGAGGATGAGGGTCCCAGCGATTCTCCAGTTGGAAGGTACAGGGTCCCAGCACTTCTCAGATTGTCGGTGGGTAGGAGAAAATGCCAAGGGGAACTTGGAGAGTCATGCAGCATCAATGTTGTGATATTGCACATGGGAGGCCTTGGTGGGTTGGTCCAAGGTGCCCCAGTGGGTGAGGGAGACATGGTGGAGGAAGCAGGGCTGTGGGCTGAGGCATGGAACAGTGGAAAGTCACTCACACCATAAAGACACATGTCCACATGGAAAGTTTATTTTGAGGGGAGGGGGAGAGAGAATGGAGGGAAGGAAAAAGGAGAGAGAGAGAGAGAGAGAGAGAGAGAGAGGAGAGAGAGAAGAGAAGAGATGCACATAGAAAGAGAGAGGGGGAGGAGGAGTTATCTCTTAAAGTGGGCTTTATGTAAGATGAAGTCAGGACTGGGCAGGCCAGGTTATTATCTGCTTATTGGCCAAGATCCAAGAAGTGAGTCTGAATGCTAACATTCCTGGAGGCTCAATGGCTAGCCAGTTTAGGCTCTTGTCAAGTTCCAGGTTCACTGAGAAACTTTGTCTCAAAATAACTCCAGATGATGCAAAGACCACCCATGCTTCTGAACTAACAGAAATAATATTGTAATAATGGCTATATTATCAAAATCTATCTACTAATTCAGCACAATCCCCATAAAATTTAAATAACATTTTAATGTGTTATTTTTTCATTTCTGTTACCAAATACTTGTCAATAACCAACTTCAGGGAAAGAGAGTTATTTCACTTTATAGTTGGAGAGGATACAGCCTGCCACGGTGAGGGAGTCATAGTATCAAGAACAGGAAGTAGTTGGTCACATTACATCCCAATCACAAAGCAGAGACTGCGAAATGCTATTGCTCAGATCACTTCTTCTTTCTATTTAGGATGTAGCCCCACCCAATGGGAGGTGTTACCTGCTGTCATAGTGGAACCTCCTTTTTCAGGTAAATGTTTCTGATAACACCGTCACAGGCACACCCAGAGATGTCTTTCCATAAGACACTAAATTCTACCAAGTTAACAATCAAGATTAACCCCTACAATGTTTGTTCAAGACAGAAAATCAGAAGAATAATAGTTTTAACATTATCAGAAACACAAAAGTCCAAAGGACTCAAAGCAATCCTAAGCAGAAAGATCTATTCTGGTAATATCACAGAATCTGACTTTTTTTTCTTACCCAACATAGTATTTTTATTTATTGTTTGGGAATTTCACACAATGCACCCCAATCACACTGGCTTTACAATCCTCTTAGGTCATCTGGCACACCTTTGTGCCCCACCAAAAGAAAACAGACAAACAAACCACTACCACCACCAAAAAAACCCACCAAGTCTAATTTATGTTGCCCATATACTCACTGGAGAACCGTCAAAATTCCAGTAGCCAACGCCTTAAAGAAAACTGGTTCTTCCCCACTCCAACCCCACCAGAAGCCATCACACTTTTATCACAATTTTTAAGGACTCTCTTCTTGTCTAGACTGTTTCTTTTTTTGGGGGGGGGGTGAGGGTGTCACAGAAGCCTTCTGTGTCTTTCATTCTCAGTCATGAGTCTGCAATCATCAATACCACTACAAAAGAAGCTTCTTTGACCCTAGCAGTTATATCAGCATGGATCAGGACTGTCACATGACCTCTGGTGGTAGCTCAGATTCCTTTGGCAGCTAGGATTATGGACATCAATGTGGTCTCCATTTGCAACATGGACCACTAATATCAACATGGTTTCTGTCTGTAGTGCAGACCTCTGGCAGCAACACACACCCTGACCTGACTCTAAATTATACCAGAGCCCCATTAATGTAAACAGTATGTTAAAGACACGAAAGTAAGCACCTTAACAAATACAACAGAAGACATAGAAAGAAATACATGAGGCTATCATCACCCAATTTTTGACAAAAGTATCAAAAGCACACATTGGTGAAAAGACAGCCTCTTGAACAAATGATACTGGGAAAACTGGATATTCACAGGTAACAGAATGAAACTATACCCTTATCTCTTACTTTGCACAAAAATCAATTCAAAATGGATTAAAGACTTTACTGTGGGACCTGAACCTCTGAAACTACTTGAAGATAAAATACTTCAGGATGTACACAGAGCTAAAGAGTTTCTGCAAAGATTTTTCAGTAGCTCTGGAAACAATTCTAAGAACTGACAAATTGGATTGGATGAAATATAAAAGTTTCAGCAGAATGAAAAGACAGTCCACAGAATGGGGAAAAATCTTTGACAGCTATACATATGATAAAGGATTAATATCTAAAAATCTTTAAAACCTCAAAAACTGAAACACTGTCAGAACACAGTCCATGAATGGAACTGTGTGAGGTTTCTGAGATATTTTGAGAAAACTCCAAGTGAACTCCAAGACAAGAATCTTATAATCATTATTCCTCCATAACTTTTCTCAGAATGTGCTTTCATGCCTCTCACAGGTATAATAATATGGGTGGATTTTACTTTAGATCATCTTACCCATTGTTATTCAGAATGATGCTTCAACAAACATGGGTTATTTTCCATGACTATATACAGACTAAACTCATGTGAACTTTGCTCATGACCTTGCTTAACCCTCAGAATACCCTCATAATATAAGTTGCCTGATTCTCTGAATAAAGTTGGCTATCTGCCTCATTTTTAGACTCAGCTCTTTTAGGTTCACCCCATCAAATAGAGTGGTAACAAAGCACCAAAAACCAAATCAACGAATCAACAAATGAGTGAGTAAATTGAACAGAAACTGGTAGCGAGAAGGTTTCTCCAGTACCGCCTGGCCATGCAGTCCCTCAGCCACTTATAAAATAATCACTCAGAGGCTCAATATTAATTACCAATTGCATGGCCTATGGAA